CTTGGTCAAATCTGTTTTGCATTTTAACATCCAACGCTTGAAGCATCTCAATCATTTGTTTAGTCATTACAGACATCAAGTCCTGTAGCTCTCCACCAAAAAGCGGTGGGGGTGAGGAAAATGACGGGGGTGGCAAGTGAGAAATTTTAGAAGTTAATTGAAGTGTCTGCAACATCGGAGATGTAGTCAGTTTTAAAGTCTCTGCATTTTCTAAATTCAATTTATAATTGGATATTCTTGTCTTAACAGCATGTGCATCTATTTAAAGCTTCTTCTTGTCAGGTACTGAAAAACTGAGGCTTGTCTGTCTCTAAGCCGATTCTTGAGCAAACAATTCACAAAGTCTGTGCCTGAGAGAAAAGAGATTCCCTGCGAATCTTAGATAGGGTGTCCAGGATAAACTGCATTCTGAGTCCTTCCTGTGCCTGATGCCTTATCTAGAAAATGGCTCTGGCTTTCTGGCAGCGTGTCAGATAAGCCTGCCTGCCTGCCTGCCTGCCTGAGTAAAAGCCCTGCACAGAATATTCAGTCGAGAAAGGTCTTATGCCTTATACAGTGCCATTAAAGGGTATAAAATGTTCTCTTCCACTGACAGTCCCTTGTAAGAAGGGCTTCAGGAAATGATTGTATTGGGTGTGGAAGCGAAAGCAGAACAGCTTTAACTCGTGAGTGGCCTGCATGCTCGTGGAAAGAGTAAAAGGGGTGTAGTGTAAAAGGAAAAAAAAAAAAGGGGGGGAGGAAGAAAGATTAGCTCTGTGCACTGATGTAATTCCTGTGATAATCCGAATTGCTGAATAAATATTCAGGAGCACGTTTGCTTTGAAGAAGTCTCTGTTGCCATTAACGGGGGATTGCTTCAGGTATCTGTGCTTAGAGCAGTGTTTCTCAGCCTTGACAATTTTAAGGCATGTGGACTTCAACTCCCAGAATTCCACAGCCAGCAATGCTGGCTGTGGAATTCTGGGAGTTGAAGTCCACATGCCTTAAAATTGTCAAGGCTGAGAAACACTGGCTTAGAGCTCGGTCAGACGTCTGAATAATACACAAGCTCCAAGCAGTTGTTTACATTGGATGTACCCATTGCTGCCAAGTTCTCTTTCTAATGGACTCCCCTGTATAAACAGATTTGTGAGGCTACCAGAAAATTGTAATGGACAATTAACTTCATTGGCAGATACCTGAGTGAGTATAGTATTAGTGATCTTGAGTGCTGTATTGAATTAGCCTTGGATTTAAACAGGTTGCCCGAGAGAAGTAAGCGTGTGATGTATTTGGCCTATTAAATGGAAAGGCAAGCTTTTCCTAAATAGATGTTGCAAGCTTCTAGCATGGTATTACTCCACTTCCTTACAAGCATTTCCATTCTGTGCTGTAGAGTACTGTACTTTGATCCTCATATAAATACAGATTGTGAGAGGATGTTTGATTGATTTTTGGTGATTTCCACGGCTGGAGGACAGTTGGGATCCAGTGCTCAATACTGTCTTTATTTTCTTCCCCTTCTAATTGTCATCTCTTATGAGAACTAGAGGTCCATCAGTTCCCTTGGTGCCTGCTCTTCTCCAACCACTGTATCACGTGTGTATCAGTTTCATAAAAAATGGGAAGCTGGCATGGTACAAAGCAAGTGTCTGCCTTTGGCATTTCAATAAGCTTTCTTAAGAAACAGAAACAATGCATGGCTACAGCTTGGAGCTCATTTTCAAATCTGTCCCCTAAAACAATGATGAACTGAGATAATCCTTGTGTGTTGGCCAATAAAGCTATTCTATTCTATTCTATTCTATTCTATTCTATTCTATTCTATTCTATTCTATTCTATTCTATTCTATTCTATTCTATTATCTGTCTATCCTATCCTATCCTATCCTATCCTATCCTATCCTATCCTATCCTATCCTATCCTATCCTATCCTATCCTATCCTATCCTATCCTCTATATTTGGGAGAGTTGAGGGCAAGTGGCTAGCATGAGGGGCAAATAGCATCCTAGTAATCCATGCTTGGCAGCTGATTATAGCCTGGACATTTTGTAAAGGAACTAGGCTCCCCAGCAGCCTTTGTACAAGCACACACACATCACACTTCTTCAAAATCCAGAATTCAAAGTGTAGTCATACTGCAAAATGTCAGCGGTCTTGCGTTCACCTCCATTTCATGGAAAATTACTATAAATTAGTAGGTGGCTTCATTGTTCTGTTTACAAAACAGTTAAAGCCTAAAGGAAGCGCACACTGATAGACTGACATATTATTACTCTCTTGTCCTTATGAAAGACAGCGGCACACCTGAAGGGTACAATGATGAGACAATTTAAGGGAACTGTACGTAAAATCTGCACGGTTGGATGCGGTAGCTCAATCTATATGGGAATTTTCTAAGTTGCCTACTTCAACTAATTTCATAACAAACAGAGAGGACAGATGGGGGTTAGATGCTTAGCATCAATTTCTTAAAAATCAGTTGCATGTGTTATGTAAACACTGCCTATCAGTTGATTGTGTGTGCCAACCAGTCTTCTATGACTCTTCATTTTTGTCTCAGGTCCAACCATCTCTGTGTCTCTGTGTGAGTGTTTGTGTTTGTGTGGCCAGAAACAAATGTTTGACCAGATTCCCATCTTTTTTAGACTAGTTAAAATTACTGTGTGTTCTTCCACATGGAAGATTATTTACAGTTTGTATAATGCAGTTGCTAAGTTACAGGCACAGCTCAGTTGGTCAGACATTTAAAATTGTGGGTTCTCTGTACCTTGCTTTTAGAAAGATGAAATGGCAGCCTTACGGTTACGATGTTTATATGCATCAAATTGAAAATAGGATTAATAATAACTAATGCATAAAGTTAAACAATATAAATGTTTGTACATAATCTAGGAGAAAGAAGCACAAGATATGAATGGAATTACGGAAGAGACTGACTGGAGAGAATGCTCCAGTAACATTTAAACTAAATGTGTTGCTTAAGTTGCTGCTGGAATTGGGTATGTCTAGTTTAACGAAGAGAAGGACGAGGGGGGACATGATAGCAGTCTTCCAGTATCTCAGGGGCTGCCCCAAAGAAGAGGGAGTCAAGCTATTCTCCAAAGCACCTGAAGGCAAGACAAGAAGCAACAGATGGAAACTCATCAAGGAGAGAAGCAACCTAGAACTAAGGAGAAATTTCCTGACAGTTAGAACAATTAACCAGTGGAACAACCTGCCTCCAGAAGTGGTGAATGCTCCAACACTGGAAGTTTTTAAGAAGAGACTGGACAGCCATTGGTCTGAAATGGTATAGGGTTGCCTGCCTGAGCAGGGGGTTGGACTAGATGACCTCCAAGGTCCCTTCCAACTTTATTATTATTATTATTATTATTATTATTATTATTATTATTATTATTATTATTATTATTATTATTATTATTATTAAGTTTGGTTATTGTTGTTCCTTGTAGAATTTGGGATGTATTGTGATAAGTTCTTTAAAATTCATACTAAGATAGAAAAGTACAAATGTTACAAAGAAACCTGTATAAAAAGGAAGGTTTGGGCTGGTGAGTAGAGTTTACATTGTAAACAACAGCTTAGGTGCAAAAAAAAAAATAGATTTGCATTTCTCTAACAGCAGCACACAAAAAAACCTTCTAGATTATTTGCTTCTCTTTTGAATTAACCATAGTTACTTGTAATAGCCATATATAGACAAGTGTGTAGTTAACTATGTTTTGCTCAGACAAGCTAGTTTCAAGTCATAAGTTGAATTTACCATAAAATTATGAGGCCAAATTTTAACAGCGTGGGTTCATGTTCAATCTCCTTTTTTCCACTGTTGGGTCCAACTTGCTACTGCTTAATATTATCTCAGAATCCTAAAATGAAGTTAATCTTAACTGTGATTTGTTAAAACCATTCAGATTCATGTGACATATCATGTTGAACAAGCTATGGCAGTGTGAGTCATACAAACAGCTGACTCATGAACTGTGCTTTTCATAGTGGCCACATTCTTACAACCACTAAACAAAATAAGCTATATTAGAACAGTGTGTGTGCGCGCAAGCACACATGCCATTGTGTTCAGACATGGGACAGCTGTGGTTCAATGTCATAATAACACAGTATGGGTTAGATTGACCTGGTGTTTGTCAAGCTTATCAGAGCCAAATATTTGTGAAATGATTTTAATCTGTGACTTTGATATGGCTTCACCTTTTGAGGGGATAATTGCAAGGTATCATGTTAGAGAAAGTTGGTTTTAGATTTTGATTTTTAAACATGCAAATAAAATACAGGATGACGGGGGAAAAACCCTCCCCATATACTTAACATGTTATTGTGTGAATCCTCCCTACATATGCGTCCAAATAAAATCAAGACAGATAATTTTTTGTATAGAGTGATATGCAAACAAAGGTAATGCACATTCAGGGGCTATATTTTATTTATAGGTGCACATGCAATCTGGTACAGGCAACCGTTCTGTGGTTTTCAAACTGTTTTCCAGGATTAGGGCTGCATTAAGAAACACATATGCCCTAGGCACATTTATATTCATAGGTCCTTGTTACAGCAGTAATCCAAATACTGAGGGTTATGCAAGTATTTCCTGAATCTATATTTGTTAGTAAGTGACAGGGATTTTTATTTATCCAAGAGCCCAAAGTAATATTTGCAGTTCAAGCATCCAATATAGTACATACATATGTATAAATATATCATGGCAACCTGGAGTGTTCCATTTTCTAATCAGCTGTAGGCTTTTCTAGGTTACTGTAATCTGTACCTTTACCCCTAAACCTTGGTGTCCTCACTTATCAACAGTTAGCACTTTTTAGTCTCTAACCACTCACAATCTTCAAGACATGTTTTGTGGGTTCTCCCTTTGTTTTTACTCCCCTCAAAAAAATCAGACCAGATTAAACAACTAAAAACAATAACATCATCTTTCTCACAAGCCTTCAACAGTCCAATAAATGTTGGTGAAAGGTAGAGAAAAAGCACGGCAGGACTTACTTCATTTTCTGAGCAGGAAATTTGGTATCTTCCAAGAGAACAGTTAGAGAACATTTTTGTGATTTGGTGACTGCATTTATTCAATTATTCCTGTGTATTGTGCTGTTGTGTGTAAATAGCCCAGGGGAGGCAAGCATTTTTCCATACCCACAGTGTTCTTTTGTATATTTCCCATTTTGTCTATTAGGCTCCTTGTCCCATTCAATTTTTTAAAAATTTCTTTTATTGGGGGGGATTTTTTTTAGAAAGCTGGCAAATTGCAATGTGACGCCCCCAAGACTTGCACATTGCCTTTATTGGCAGCAGTGCTGTGGGACTCCATAGAAGTCTGACAGATTGGTTGAAAGTATTTTGTGAACTACTTTTTCAGAGATAATATAAAGCCAAGATCCACCTGATAATAATTCTACTACCAGCAGGAATGTTGGCCTGTAGTTGTGAAAGTGTGAAAGATCATTTATTAGGTAAGGCTGATAAAGAATCTTTAAATACTGTGTTAAAAAAAACAGACAGTAGAATATCCTTCTCACCATTCCATCTCCTTGAACTGATGTATCATTGAAGCGTGGTTTTCCTTACTTACTGATATTTTTTGATACTTGTTTCTCCTACATAGTATTATCAGTACTCCTGTGAGTTGCAGATTTGAAGTTGTGGGTTCTGGGCTGTTACAACCTGTCATTGCTGGATCACATTTGACTGTTCAGAACATCAGAATCCTGTCTTGAAACTGAATTTAGAGAAAAATGAAGTTGTCTTGCAGGCCTTTCTGTACCGTTCTTGATTTTTCTGAGGAAGTTTCCAAAAATAACCTCTAAAAGCTGTACCTTTGCAAGCTCGCATAAAAGTAATAATGATAAGAATCAAATGTTTGTTTTTTCGATTAAAAGCTTCAATATTTTTTTTCTGTCACACCCTTTCCCTTTTTCTTTACCTCTTAGGAAATGGTTTTGTGAACTCACGAGCATCCCCAGGTCTGCTTAGCAGCACCGGTGGAGGGAATGGTTTAAGCAAAGTGATGCCTACAAAATCTCCTCCACCTCCTGGTGGGGGCAGTCTTGGAATGAACAGTCGCAAACCAGATCTCCGTGTTGTCATTCCTCCGTCTAGCAAAGGCATGATGCCTCCATTGGTAAGGTGTTCCTTTGACTACTTGTGCATGGACTGTATTCTTAGGGGGGCTTAAAAGTGTGGTTGCTGATTCTACAGACAAAAACGTTGCCTCAAAAACGTCCACTTTATTCATGCATATAAAGTTTTCAAACTACGGGTAGTCCTCAACATACGACCACAGTTGAGCCCCAGTTTTCTGTTGCTAAGCGAGACGTTTGTTAAGTGAGTTTTGCACCATTTTAAGACCTTTCTTGCCACAGTTGTTAAGTGAATCACTGCAGTTGTTAAGTGTCATGGTTCCGAAAGATGAAACTCTTCAAAGAACTTTGAGGCATTGTTTACCTTAAAGAATCTTTAATCGAGCAGTATAGCTTCGGTATCTACATAGTTGAAGCCAAAATCTGACTTCCCCTCCCTTCAGCACATAGATCGAAGCACAATTCCCTCCTACAACTAACAGTCATAAATCACATTCTCCAATTAGTTTGAAATGCTGGCTTCCCGCCCAGTTCCTTATCCCGCCATGCTTGATCAGCTCTTGTTACGATATTGTATGTCTAACTAACTCCCATCACATTCCTCCCCCAGTACCATCTAATTCTAAGAGTACAGTATATGAGAGAAAAAGGCTGCATCTCCATCTGTTGTCAAAGCAAGAACATCCAATGTTAGCAGCGTTGACATCAAGTTAGCAACACAGTTGTTAAGTGAATCTGGCTTCCCCATTGACTTTGCTTGTCAGAAGGTCACAAAAGCCGATCACATGACTCTGGGACACTGCAACCGTCATAAATATGAGTCCGTTGCCAAGCTTCTGAATTTTGATCATGTGGCCCTGGGATGCTGCAAAGGCCGTCAGTGTGAAAAACGGTCACGAGTCACTTTCCCCAGTGCTGTTGTAATTGCAAATGGTCACTAAACAAACTGTTGTAAGTTGAGGACTACCTGTAGGAAGAACATAAAATAATAGGGGTAGAAGGAATCTTGGAGGTCTTCTGACCCAACCCCCTACTGAAGCAGGAGACCTTTTTGTTGCAAGGCAGAAGTCTTTTTACTCTAGATTTCCGCAATCTATCCCCTTACCATAATGGCTGAGAATTCTTGGAATCCACCCGGAACACAGTATATGGGGAAGATGCTCTTAATACTAAACATGAGTATGACGTGGTAGTGGTTGCTCTGAAATCTACCATATTTCTGTATTATTCATGCAGTTCTTTATGTGTACAACCCCATGGGTTGGCCTGGATAAGTCTTATATTTCAAAAATATTTCAGGGTCCAATTTTTCAGAATCCAGGCACTCTGAGGAGTGCCTTGTGCCTTGTTTTGTTTGTGTGAATGCTGCTAATTGCTCATTTTCTTGGCTGTTCATTTGCCTTTGATTAACTTCAAAGGCGGAATGGAGCCTATGCCGTTTTCTTTTTTCAATCCAGTGAAACATAGTATGAATTTTAAAAAAATGCACTAATATTTCTTAACACAGCTCTGTTAAATTATTCCCACACTTTTTTTTCTTTGTATTAATTGATTTGCTTGTCCACTTGAAGTTAGTTTTAAATGCACAAAACTATAAAGACAATCCCTGCCAGTACAGAACAGAGTTATCTGTAGCCCTGCTTTCTGTTTCACACTGTAGCCAACTTGCTGCTTCTCAGAAGCTCACAATCAGGATTTTATGAAAACAAGAGCCCCCCCCCCCAATTTCCCATCTCCAGTTCCCAGCATTTAATCTTGAAGAGCACTGCTGTCAGTTAGATATAACCACCACGGATTTGTTTAATTCTTAAAATTCTAATGGATAAACCAGCGTCATCTCTTGTGGAAAAATGTTTGCCACGATCTATTCCAATGCAGAACAATTTTTTGTGTCTATTCAAGGCTATAGCGATTCAGGGCCTTTTGCAGGTCTGCATTGAGAAAAGCTGATTGCTTTTATCAATGTGAATGCGGTTGCTTTGCATATATATAATATTTCCACTTAGGAAAAAAAAATGAAGAATTATGCATTGGAATCTTGGCATAGCATCTGAGCTAGAACCAAGAATTGACTCATCACTTCAGACTTTACTTTCTCAAGGGGTAGACAGATGACAAGGGGGGGGGGGGCTTGAAGCTTAACTTTTGACCTTGAGCCATCTGGTCTGTGAAGGGTACCATTTGTCAGCTATGCAATTTTCATTTGCTTTTCTCATTCTCACAAAGCAGGCTCTACACTTTCAAATTGTTGCTCTTTATCCCCATTTGATTAGTGTTTGAAGTGGAACTTAGTTGATCCACTAAATTCTTCAGTACTCCGTGCAATCTGGGATTGCAGATTCCAAACTGGCTTAACTGAATGAACATGAATCATGCTAGCCATAATAAATTAGTGTTCCATGTCAGAATAATACCACATATAGTCACTTCACTTACGACCATAATGGGGAACAGAGTTTTTGTTGCTAAACAAGGCGGTTGTTAAGCAAGTCACATCCAATTTTATGACTTATTTGCCACAGTTTTTAAGTGAATCACGTGATTGTTTAGCAAACCTGGCTTCTCCCATTGGCTTTGCTTGTCAGAAGCCAGCTGGGCAGGTGGCAAATGGTGATTACATGACCCAGGATGCTGCAACCATTGTAACTACATGCCAGTTGTCAATACCCAATTTTCGATCATGTGGCTGTGGGGATGATGTAATGGTTGTAAGTGCGAGGACTAGTCATCCGTCGCTATTTTTGGTGCTGTTGTAACTTTGAACAATCGGTAAAGGAATGGTTGTGGAGGATTATCCGTAGCTTGCTTGTACAGGCTCTGGAACAGTTGTAGATAGAATCTTTGATGGATAATTTGGCTTTCTTAAATTATGCTGTTATGCCTGATACTCATCTATGCAAATGAAAAATACTAGCGAGGCTAAATATAGCTAGCTTTTCCAGCCCGAACGTGACTCTTTTCATTCTGAAGTGCAATCTATTCTTAGTAATGTTATTATTCCTCTTATTTGCTGAGTACAGTCGGAGGAGGAGGAATTGGAGTTGGTGAGTCTGGGTTCTTACTTGGTATGAAACATCAAAATCCGAAGAGCTTTCATGTCAACTCTGTATGTGACCGTACCAATGTTCCCTTTATCGCAGAGGGGGAATAAAAAACATGTAGGGGAAATCAATAAACCTTCAACAAGAAGCTTTTTTTTTTTCTTCCTTTTAATTGAAAAGGGGAACATTGGGACCAAACCTCTAACAGCAACATCAGGGAAATAGCCTTAAATGATTATTTGCACGATGGCTCAGTTAATGTTGGTGTTTCGAGTTCTGCAAATATTGAAACAGATCTTGTGGCTGCTGCTTTCCTTCTCGGAGATTACATCACTCCCAATGAGCTCACCATGCTGGAGATAAAGTTAATTTCATGCTCTACAAGAGAAGGAAGCCACAAGGGGATTCCCTGTTTACCAGAAGAAACTACAATTGCAAGCTGTCTTTTTCTAGTGGAAAAGGCTTACTCTTAAGAAGAGTTTTTACAAAACGTGTACGATGTAGTTTCTTCTGTTTATCCTTAAAAAAGCACTCCTAAAATAATGCTTCTCAGCATTACTGCAAATCTGCATCTTGATAAACCTGTGCAAACGACAGAGAACAAGAATTTTGATGCTTTTTATCAATTTAAAACCCAATGAGTTGCTGATATGGGGCTTTTTATGCACGACAGCATGGTTTGTGTGTGTGCGCGTGTGTGTGTGTGTGTTTCTACGTCTTGTGAATGCATCCAGTTATATAGTACATTTATGTTTTTAGACAAAAGTATGATGTCTAATATATCAAATGTGCTAGTTTTCCTATGTAATTGTTTTCACATATATTTGAAAAGCTAAGGAGTTAAAAATCCATTTTATTCAGTCAGTTATATTGAAGTGACTTATAAGGAACAGCAGATCAGTGCTCAACACAGGAAAATTAAATATGAACCCTCCCCAAATTAGCATAAAATCCTTAGGGAACTCTGGCAAGGAAAGATTGTACTTCACTTCCCTTGGCCATCATTCCATAATGTGGACCCATTATGGAAAAAGCTGAATTTATCACTGAGGCTAAAACATCTCTATTAAGGGACCTTAAAAGATGCGCTATAGAGTAAAATTGTGGCGCAGACTATTTGAGCATAGGTGCCCCTATAAGTAGCTTGGTCATAAGCCTTATAAAGCTTTATACATGACCATAAGCCGCTTTCAGTTGACCTCAGAGACAGACAGTTGGTAGTTTCAGCCAAGGGGTAAATGTAGGGCATGAGAAGGCCCAAGTCACTCTTGCTCCGTTCTGCTGTTTTCTGGGCCAGCTGCGATTCCGTTACTGTTGTGTATAGTCTTTTGAAGTTGAACCGTCTTGGATTTGAAATGCCTGGCTGGATTCTGAAACAGTTGTTTCAAGGTCAAAGCAGATGTTCTGAAGGTAACAGGCTGTCCTTTTGGAAGCATTTCAAGCTTGAAAACACTCTATTCTGAGCTTGAAACACTTCCCGGTTTCAGGATGGGTCCAAACCACTCTTGGTTCAGGTGAAGGAGAAAGAAGAAGAATATTAGGAGCACGCTGATGACTCTAAATCAGTGTTTTGCAACCTTGACAATTTTAAGGCATGTGGACTTCAACTCCCAGAATTCCACAGCCAGCATTGCTGGCTGTGGAATTCTGGGAGTTGAAGTCCACATGCCTTAAAATTGTCAAGGTTGAGAAACACTGCTCTAAATCATCTGCTTTATGTACCCAGTGGCTTCATATAGGAATTAAATAGCTCTGGAGACAAGTATTTCCCGAGACACCTTTCAGTAAGACTATCAGTGAGCTGAGCTACAGTCTTCCAGTGTCTTTTTCAGGGAATTAAGTCTGTAGATGAGAGTAGAACCAATGCTAAGAGTAGAACCAATTAATGCATGATCCAATTTCAGGAGAATATAATGATTTCACAAGAGAGCAACATTGCCATTATCTCCTAATAAAAGTAGTCCTTCAGGACAACCCAGGAAACTTCTGACCCATAGTTACCCAGAAATTATTTTCAAAAAAATTAATTGGATTTCTTCAACGAATAGAGAGGCCTTTTGTTTATTGTCCTCTGTCAAATTGTACCTTTTTGCAAAGCTTATGGACAGGAAATGTGTTAGCCTTTTAAGATATGCCCATTCCACGGGTAGAATCTGAAACGGTTAAAGTGTTCTGCTAGCAAGTCACAAGATATATTTTGCTTACTGATAGGATTGTAAGCAGGGCTTTCCAACCTTGGCAACTTTAAGACTTGTGGACTTCAGTTTGCCAAGGTTGGAGACCCCTGCTTACACACTGCCACCTGGTTCCCAGTTTAAATCAGGTGCGCTGTAGTTGAAGCATTATGAATTGCGCCTGACAAAAACAAAATGGACCCATGTAGGTTTGCAGTGATTTGTTCAAAGGATGCCTGCCTATATTTACATTTCTCTTTCCACAAACAGTGCCCTAATTATTATTTGCATGCAAATTGCATGGCTGCATTTGTTGTAGGTTAAAGGGCATGTCTGCTGTGCCAGAACGTATTTTGAAGCAGCTCTATATTTTCCTGTACAAGGGTAAACATCCATTTGTATTTTAGCATTTACAGGTCGAGATTGCCCTCTGGTGGTACTACCGTTTCTTAATATCAAGCCAAGAAAAAAATGACAACTAGATCATTTAGCATTGCAACTAAAGCCCCAAAACTGGTTCAAGCTATGATGTTGCCCAGAAAAAAGAGGTTTTAAGTATGGTGGAGCCTTGTTTTATAAATATGGCATGCTTGGTCTGCCATGGATCAACACTCTCTGTGTCAACTTACCCTATTGAGTATTAAGTCATCAGTAAGCAATTCGAAAGGGCTGGAATTCAAAAAACAATATTGTGGAGAGGAAAGGATTTGAAATTCACTTATTTAGATAGTTTGGTCTAAATTTAGATAGTTTTATCAGCATTCTCCTCCCCCCCCCAAAAAAAAACCAAAAACAAAACAAAACTAGATGTGACAAGATGATCCCTAACAGTCCTGGGAATGAGTCCAAAGGCAGCATTTTCTCTTCCTATCTTGACTAAATTGCCATTCTAAACACTAAATCATTATGGTTTAAATTTTTGTCCCTCCCTGGAATGCGTTCAACTGTTATTCTGGTTGAACGTCAGAAAAGATATTAGATTCCAGTTCCTATAATGGATATGCTCAAAAGAAGGCTGGACAGCCATGATGGGTGTTTTAATCTGGATTCATTCGTCAAGGTGGAAGTGGAACTCTGTTCCAATGTTCAGCCAAACGGTCCCTTTCAATTCTATGACTCTATCCTAGTTAATTTAAAAATGTGCTGCTTGATTACCTCAATGGAGAGGTAATCATGATTGATTACTGCTTGATTACCTCAATGATTTGATATAAAACATATTAAACCTCAGAGTTTGTATTTGGCCAATCAATGCATGTCTGAACTCACCTCAGCGCATCTTTAATTTTGTTTGACCACTTTCATTTTTCTGGTTACCATTCGTAGAACACGCAGCGGTTAAGTAGTTCTCAGTCCACGCAACCTCTTGCAACACCAGTTGTATCTGTGACAACTCCAAGCTTGCCTCCACAAGGACTGGTCTATTCTGCCATGCCTACAGCTTACAATACTGGTAAGTTACACATTTGTTGGCTCTTCATCTCCTGTTTTCTTAATGGCTGCAGCATTCAAAGGCTTCTAAGCCTTTAGGTAATCCTGCCTTTGCAACATTCAACTGTGGCCAACAAAAGTCGCAAATACTGAATTATTGCTCAGAACTATGTGCTGCTCTTCATAGAATAGTTTATAGAGATCTAAATCAGCCTAAAACTAAATCACGTATAGCAGAATAGTATATGGGAGGGGTTTGATAAATACTACAGAGGGAAATTTGTTGTGGTGGTTAAACCATGAGGCTAGAGACTTGGGAGACTGTAAGTTCTAGTCCTGTCTTAGGCATGAAGCCAACTAGGTGACCTTGAGCCAGTCACTTTATCTAAGCCCTAGGAAGGAGGCAATGGCAAACCACCTCTGAAAAACCTTGCTAAGAAAACTGCAGGGACTCTGAGAATTGGACACAATTAAACAGAAGAGGGGAAAAATACGAGACGGGTTTGGTAAATTTTAGAGGGGAATTAATTTTCAGGACTTTGTCTGAACTTTTATATAGATGAATTAGTGGCATGAGCTTCCCTCTGAAACAGGAAAATGAAGCAATGGTGCTTTCATCCCACAGTCAATGTTATGATTCCCCGCTGATGTATGTGAAACAGTGCCTGGTTTACATGCTCAGAAATCTCTATGTGCCCATAGGAAAAAACTGTCTAGCCAGCATCAACTAATAGATAGGAAAAAAAACCCAACCTTTTAAGCACAAATCATTGGTCTTTCACAGGAACCCATTTTTATCCCTATCTTTCCCCAAGAGGCAAAGGGATATATTAAGAGAACAGTATTAGAAAGTGATTAAGTGTTGAAAAGCGTTTGCAGCTTCCTCTCCTTCCATATGTGAGAGAAAAAGGAGTGACAATCATGAAGTGAAATAACTTCCTGCATATTAATCAGAAGTGACAGCTATTAAAGCCCTGATTTTAAAAAAACCTAATATTTAAGTTTTTGAATCAAACCCTAGAGACATCTGTTCCATAAGGCTGCAGAGGGCCCCCACCCTGCAAAAGTGAGGGTGGGGGAATCAATTCTTCATTATTTCTGGAACAATAAATCAGGCAACAGCTTTAAGTCCTCTCCAGTTTACTTACCATTCATCTTCAGATGGGCTTCCTGAACTGTTTGCATCTTAATTGGTATTCTTTTGAGTTGGGTTCCAGCCTCTTCCCTTCTCACTTCCTCCATATCCTCCTGCCCTCCCTTCCGAAAGCAGCAGACAGCGACTAATTTTATTTCTGAAGTTTGTAAGCTGTTTGGGAAGCTTTTCGAAAGGCTGAATTGCAGATCAAATGATACTTTAAATAATGTTCTAATAAGATTTGAATCCTCGGCTGTTTTGCAATTCATAAAATGGTGTGCAGATATAAACAAACTTTGGATAGCACGATCCCTCTGGGTTTGCTCTTAAAGGAATTAACAGGACCCGGTGACTGTTTGGAATAATCTTGTTTTTCTCCCGGGAGTCCACCTGAATTTCTTGCGTAAGAGTTGTATCAAGGTCTCTGCATCTGCTCTCTGCTCATAAATGAAAGATGGTCTTAATAGGCTTCCCATGTTTCAGCATCTCAAGTAACTATACCAGTGGTGGCGAACCTATGGCACGCGTGCCAGAGGCGGCACGCGGACCCCTCTCTGTAGGCATGTTCCATCGCCCCAACACACGTGGTCTCTAAAAGTTCGCCATCACTGGCCTAAGGCCAGCCAGCCTGGAGCCGCCATTGGGGAGCCCACCATCCCACCCACCAGAGACCCCCTGGATCTCCCCCAACCCTGCCCGGCTCCCACAGGTGTCCCTCCCCATAAGCAGCATCGAGGTGGCCACGCCCACCCCACCATGCCCACCCAATCTGCCATGACTACTGCAGCCACACCCATCCAGTGGCCACGCCCACCCAGTCTACCAAGCCCACTGTAGCTGCGCCCGCTGAGTGGGCCACACCCACCCGGCACTTGGCGATACATAAGTGGGTTTTGGGTTGCAGTTTGGGCACTCGGTCTCTAAAAGGTTTGCCATCATTGAACGATACTTTCCTTGAGCAAAAAATAAAAAAATGAACCTGAGAGTTAATCCTTAGAGACAAGGGACAAATTAGTTTGGCTTGCATTTTAGTACAAATTTACCTAATCTACTTAAGAGCAGTAAATAGGACCTCACAATTGTTTTAGCTGTTGGCAATCAGTCTGTGAGGTGTAGAAAATAATAAGAATAAAAAACACCTTAAAACTTTGCCGCAAATGCTTAATACAAAATCCTTTGCATTTATCTCTCCTGTTTCAGATTACTCCTTGACTAGTGCAGACCTGTCAGCCCTGCAGGGGTTTAACTCCCCAGGAATGCTGTCATTAGGACAAGTTTCTGCCTGGCAACAGCATCATCTAGGACAGGCAGCTCTCAGCTCTCTTGTGTAAGTAGGCGACAACTCTTGCAGCTTTGTTGGATTCGCGCTCTTATTCCCACCGGGAAACCCCACAACCTCTGGTCCTGTTTGGGTCGATTCCATTCAGTGCAATTTTTATTTATTTATTTTACTTTCTAGCTTTTAGTTAGTTGGATGGATGCGCATGGTTTGTTTTCTCAGGAAAAACGCCCGATTTATAATTTGCAAAACTCCTGCATTTTTGCAGGCTTAAGAAAAAAAAACTCCAAAAGAAGTCTTGTATTCCTTTCTTACCCTGTCATTCTCCTGTATTTTTCTCTTATATATATATATATATGTAAATTGCCAGAGGCCATGAAAAACAAGACTCTGTTTAGTTTCTTTACAATTTCCTGTAACTGGATTGAAATCAAAGTTCTTAACACGCTCCTTTTGACGCAAAAGACTAAAGAGTGGTGTAGAAAATTACAGTTAGTCCCCGATTTACAACCATCCATTTACTGACTGTTCAAAATGATTAAAACACAGGTAACACACAATTTTCCAATCACTATTCCCATTCTAATTCATTTGAAATATTCATGAGAAGCACAATGAGATATAATATGTTGCAGTAAAGGCTGGTTGCTGATAGAACTCCTCTCACTTTTGAATGAACAAATGACTAGCTTCCCACAGTGTCCTAAATCATAATCTGATTTATTCACTTTGGCTTCAGGGATAGGTCCACCTATCCCTGATGTACAGTATTCAGCCAACTCTGCTGATAAATGTTAATTGATTAACATGACATGCAGACCAATTAATTTTTAAGACTAGGTCTCGAAATGTTTGGAGAACATTTGATTGATTTACTTCCGGTTTCTTTCTCCCGGGCTATCCTTATGCTCCTCCCTCTTTCCCAGTTGCTGGTTTAACTATATAAATACCAGACAGTTCTGCACATTGTCAAAGCAAGAATATACAGTATTTGCAGCATTGACAACTAACACAACTGGATTTTAGAGGGCTCGTCCATGTTGTCATATTTGCCCCTTGTCTTCACTAGTAATGCATTTCATTCGCACAGACACACCGCCCTCCCATTTTTGCATTTGCTTGACTAACCTGGGTTGTCGATGTGGGGAAAATAAGAGGATGAAGGTGTGTGGGATATGTTCGTCACCTGGAGTTATTTGTAAAAAATAACAAAGGCGGGATATAAATTAAATAAACAAGCATTGCATTCTAAATTTCTTTTTTTAAATAAAGATTTTATTGATTTTCTTTTACATACACACGTTAATTTTTCAACCAACGAGCTGTCTGGGATCAGCTATGCTAATACATATTCGATTCCTAATCCTTCCATTCTTTCCTCTAACCAACAATAAAATGAGTCCCAAGTTTGGTAGTGATCTGTGTCTTCTTTAATCTTTCAATCTCATAGTTAATCTGTCCATCTCTGCCCATTCCAATATTTTTCTGATTATTTCTTCCTCTGATGGTAGTCCTTCGTTCTTCCAATATTGCGCAAAGATGATTCTCGCTGCTGTGGTGACGTGTAAAATCAAATAATAGACGTTGCTTATTAAGCTTTTCAGGCATTCTACCTAATAAGAAAAGTTCAGGTTTAAAACCAACATGTTCACCTAATATTTTTTTCTAACCACGCACGTCTCTTTTTCCAATAAGCCTTTGCTTTGCCACATGTCCACCAAATGTGCGTGCCTGAGTTGTGCTTACATTTCCAGCATTCTAATTTCTTTGATGCAAGGTTGGGCGTCCTAAATGTTGGCTCCAGCAAGCACAGCAAACCATGATTTTTCTTCTCTCTCTCTCTCTCCCTCTCTCCCTTCCTTCCCCGGCTTTAATTAGAACGGGAAGCCAGTTATCCCAAGGTTCCAGTTTATCCATCAACACCAATCAAAATCTTAACATTAAGTCTGAACCGATCTCACCCCCTCGAGAAAGGGTGACCCCCTCCACGTTCCAGTCGCAGCAGCAGGCATCGCAACAGCAGCAGCAGCAGCAGCAGCAGCAGCAGCAGCAGCAGCAGCAGCAGCAGCAACCGCCACCACCTCAACAGTTGCGGCAAGAAATGGGCCGTTCTCCCGTGGATAGTCTCAGCAGTTCTAGCAGTTCCTACGACGGCAGCGATCGGGAGGACCCCCGGGGCGACTTCCATTCGCCGGTCGGGCTGGGAAGGCCTCCCAATTCGGAAGACCGAGAGAGCCCGACGGTCAAGCGGATGAGAATGGACACATGGGTGACCTAAGCGTGCCGTTCTCTACCTTGCTTTCCACTTTTGAGTTACCCCCCAATGAACAGTCCTGACATATCTAAATTTATAAATAAGGACATCAAATAAATATTTATATGTGTATATATATATATATTATATTATATATATATACATGCATATATATATATATATATCTTTGTATACGTATATATGTGTGAATGTGTAGCAAGACACAAAAAGAAAAACCGGGCACTTAACACCAACGTTTTATATGGTTGCGGATGCCCTGTGGGTTAAACAAGTGTAACAGAAGGTGCCCCCCCCCTGTAGGTCTTGGCCCCACCTGGCACTTAACGCTGGACTTTGTACTTGGTTGTGCAAAAGAAATATTCTCCCCCATATATAAACTATCCAATTAGATGGCTGAACCATCAGGGCCTGCCTCTAGTAGTGTTCCTGTGTGTTTTTTAACAGTTGTGTGGTTTCCTGTAATTAAAATTTATGCTTTGTAGCAGCAGAGCAGTAGGAAAAAAAAAAGCAATACTGTACATAGGATGACCTCTCTCTAACCCAGTCTAGCATGGGTCTCTCTTGCAAAGAATGCATGGAGAAGGGCTGGTATTATTTTAAAAAACACACACAAACTCCTGTTTTTGCACGTGCAAAACAATGCTGGGTCTGATCAGATTTTTTTTTTTTTTAAAACCACGAGACAGACTCGCAAATAATACGCATGGAATCTTCAGAAGATGTTAGCCTATGAGATATCTATAAAGAAAAAGAATTAATATATTAAGTTATAATTGGAATATGTTTTAAAAGCTTTCTTATGTTAATCTTACCTTTTTTAAAATATAGAGAACCAATTTTAGCTTGTGTATATTTTTTATTAAAGAAAACCATACGTCCCTTGAAGACTATATAGAAAGTTATATATGTACTTTTGAACACATTCTGTATGAATTATTTATACAAGCCAAAGTTGAATGGTGTAGCTTTTTTTTTTTTTTTTTTAATTTGTAGAGTATACTTCTAACTTGATTTTTGACTGTCTATTGTTTTTATTTTCAGGGGAGGAAGGAAAAAAAAAATTGCAGGCAGAACCTTAGGGAAAAATAAGCCATGAATATTCTTTATGTAAATTAAAATTTGAGCCAAATTTTGTGTACATAGCATCTTAAATATATGATCACCTTTTGGTGTAGGTACGTATGTGCTGTACCTTCACCAGATTAAAAAGTATATTTTTGTGGATTGACGCCAACTTGAAGAAAAAAAGAAGAAAAGGCGAGGTCCTTATTAGTAGAGTATTCACTGTTTAATATTTACTATTTTGTTCAATATATACTGTACTTTCTTTTGGATTTAATTAATATTCAGATTTTTTCAAAGGGTGTTTTAAAAAGGGGTCGTCCCCTTCACTGGTGGTGAATGTGTTTGTTAAAATTGTACTCTTTTTTTTTTTGTGCTGTATAGTAAAGCTTCCCTTACACGTTTTATAAATATATACACACAGAAAGACACATACATATATATATATATATATGTATAAGTGTATATTTGTGTGTGCATGTGTGTGTGTATATATATATATATCTATATCTATATATCAATATTTATATATATATGAAAATATATATGTATATAGATAGTAAAGTGATAAATCCTTCCCTAATCCCTCTTATAGAAATCCGATATTGAATTCATCCTGCATAAATAGAAAAGGGTATTGTAACATGGTTTTTAAAGGCATTATTCACAAATGTCTCTTCTGGGGTTGAGGGAACTATTGTTCATGTAATGAAATGAAAACATGCACAGAGAAGCAAAAAAGAAAGAGGGATTTTGAAGTGGTTTGTGTAAGTTTTGGACAAGGTATATTTTACAAGCATTTTGCTAATGTGAGTTATTTAGAAAGCGCGTTTACACATGGAGGGAGCAGCTGTTTAGGCGTTTCCTCTAGCGTGTTCACATATCCGACACGTATCTCTGAGCACACGTTAAGAGTATTTAAATCTCTGGGCCCAAGGCCTGCTCCGTGGCTTTCATTTGCACTAATTTGGATTTAAAGACAGCGTCATGCCAGGTCTAAATTTGGCCTTATTGTGTACAATACGGGTGCATGTGTCGGTATCTTGCAGAGTTGAGCATAGAAAAAAAAAGTTAAAATTCACTTTAGCTATTTCATTTTAGTGGGTTCTCTTCTGCCGCGTAAGGAAGTCATCCCCTTGGCAAAAATGGCTGTGTTGATCCACAAGCATTGCTAACCATCCTACAGTCCAGTTCAAATACAATTCATTTCTGTGGATCAGTTCATACTTGACATCAGTAATTTCTGTGGAAAAAAACTGAGCTTGGAGTCTGGCAGGACAATTGTTGGGAAACCAGTTATGAGGATCAGAAACCCTCTGGCTGTGTGTAACCACATAAATGTTATATCTGAATATGTGATATACTATAAATGTGAGCCAGTCTTTTATAAGACACTAAGTCACTGACTGCTTTCTTTTGACTTTTCCTTGGAATGAAATAGTGATTGTTTCATATCTAAAATAGGTAGCATTTCGGAACATATGCAATTGAATTCTGGAAGGCTGACAAATTTGAGTTTTAAGGTAAAGTTTTGACCTGCATTCCTTCTTAACCTACAACCTTCTAAAACCTCTTAGGCATGGCTTGCTGGAAATCTCCTCCAACTAAACAAAACAGATATTTCCTTTTTTAACACTTTACCTATTCTTGTTTTCTTTTATCTCATGAATAATTGTATACACCAGTGGTGGATAGCGCCCTTTGTTATTTTTCAGTTTGAAAAAAATATGAGTTTCCCCTATTCTTTTGATGATTTCTCAGTGTTTTGGGAACTAAAAGCGCTGGAATTTAGCTACTCCAAACCTTGTTAGGGTAGAGCAGAAAATTGCTCCCTCACGTGGGAATAACATAACCACTTCAGTGATCCTTCTGATGCTTCAAATGAGCATGTTTCCCTGGCGCTACATGGACAGTCCTACAGATTCAAATGGGAGTTTGGTTTTTTTCATTTCACATTTACTGTCTCATTTCTTGTGTGCCTTAATGCAAATGGCTGTGCTGACTGTATCTCAATAGTCTTTATTCCTATGCAGGTCTCTTGAGGAGTTACACCATCATACATCTTTTTTTTTAAAATCCATACAAGAGAAAGTCTTGGGCTTTGTACATTAAGCCACCCAACTTTTTTTTTTCTTTTTCTTTTAAGAATCATTTCTGGAAATCAGACTGTTAATTCTCAGCCCAACAGATTGTTCTAGAATCTCCCCCTTCCCGTTTTCTCCTGTGGAAGAACTTCACACCATGAAAATGAAAGTGATTTTTTGTTGTTTGTTTTTCACAATTAGGACTAGTGTAACTCTAGACGTTTTTTTTTGGAAATACCCTTTGACCTTGTTGATAAAAGTTGCAACAGGCAGGTAGGATCGTTTATGCTAAGTTAGTTAGATAGCTGCATCCTGTACTTTGGCATTTGAGTGAGTTGTGTTTCTGTGCTGTCATTTGCTGTTCCTTTGTACCAAATATAAAGTTTTGCACTGACGTTGCGGCAGCGATGCAAAACATTTTATAGGGCGATGCGTTTGTGAATCATCACCCTCCCCTCCAGCAGGAATTGTGCAATTATTCCGTAGCAAGAGACTTGTGGGGCAGGAAGTGGTCAGGCATCCAAAGGGCCCTTCAGTTAGCTGCACATGCCTCACAGACCTGAATTTCCTTTTTGAATAGTTCAGGTAATCTTCATTTAGCAACCGTAATTGTAACCGGCCACCATTAAGTGAAGATCATGTGACTGTACTTATGATCCTACTTCAGCTTTCCTTTGCTTTATAAACCCGTGATGGCCATAAATGCAAGGACTTACTGCAAAGTTATTTTTTTCACCCCTGTCATAACTACAAATGGCCATTGCCCAAGGCTGTCACTAAACGAGGACTACCTGTAGTCCCCGATATTGCACAAAGAGCCAATTTTGGAATCTTAGAGGAATTTGTATTACATCAGTGAAGATCTGGCTGGAGTAAGAACTATTCTGAAATGCTGAAATAGTATTCTAGTTATTTGCAAAATCCTCAGCCTAAAGCATGCCTGAAGTCGTTCTTTGGTTTGATCCTGGTTCTCAGACCCAGTCTCTAGGATTTTAGCAACACTCTGAAACATTGTGTGGTTTCTGAGCCAATACATTTCCATTAAGGAGATCTATAACTTGAAATATACCCTCAGTACAAACTCTATGATGAAACAAGGACTTCAGGTAAGTTAGGTGTGCTCGGATCCTTGGTCAAAGAACAATCCACCCTTCCCGAGATTGCTAGGATGTTACCAGCTTGACAGAGAGCTAAATCCTCCTAGAACAGGGGTAGGCAATCTTGGCTCTTTTATGACTTCCTGGACTTCAACTCCCAGAATTCCTGAGCCAGCCATGCTGGCTCAGGAATTCTGGTAGTTGAAGTCCACAAATCATAAAAGAGCCAAGGTTGCCTACCCCTGTCTTGGAATGACTTTCATGAAGTGATCAACCTCTCTTAATAAGGATATTTGAATACTCCCCCTTTTAAGCTAATGAATAAGTTTAAGCAATGGAGGTGATGGTGTAAAACAGTTTTAATGCATTTATGATATGATTTCAGCAAGACCGCATAGCACAGGAATCTTTCTAGAAAGGAGTTGCAAAGAATTATAAACCTATTAGTAACATTTTCTTTTTTTTTTTAAAAAAAAAAGCATATTAAAAAAACAAGGCTGTGCAGCACTTTGGAACAGTTCCAGAAAGGTTCTTTGGAACGCGTGAGGATGCGGATGTATCAGCCGTATGCAACCCTTTAAAGCAGCTGCATCTTTTCCTGGGGATTGCACAGCACTGAAAAATACCAGTAGGGACTGCTTTAAGCCTTTTACCTATTCTAGGACGTTAATGCATAGGCAAGTGTACTGTGTGCACAAGAAATATATAGTAAATAAGGAACATAAAGGACTCCTCCCAGATCAACCATGGGGGAAAAAAAAAACATTTTGAAATTTAGAATGTGAAAGACTTTTAAAAAGAGAGATTTTTTTTTCCTCACTTTGTTGTGCAAGAAAACACTGCTTTGCTATATTTAAAAAAGAAAAGCTTTTTTTAAAAAGAAATAAAAAATATATATGTACTTAGTAATTGTTTGTAGTCGACAGTTCACAGACGAAGCTGTTTGCGGTGAAAGCTGCCTGGCGGCACAAGCTGGACTTTGTTGCCATCTTTAAGATGAATCTTTAAGGAAAAAAAAAAAAATTAAGTTAATCTTTTTCCCTGAATGTGGTGTTTTTTTCTTCATTATACAATAAATATTCTAGTGAACTTTTTATCAAATGGTTAAGAAAATGCTAGAAGTTGTTGTAAAATATTTGTATCTTGCATTCACTAAAGTAAAAATACTGGCTTTTACTGTGTATATCAGACTCACTCCTATTTAGAATGCTTGGTTATTCTACCTTCCCCTGTTCCTGAGTCCTTCCTAAGCTGGATTCATCTTTTTGTTAGTCATTGTCCCATCACCAGGGCCTGCTGTACTGTGTGAACTGGAAAGTGGAGCTGTCCAACTTCATCAGGCTTAAGGCGTTCAGACCGGTCAGTCCTAGAGGAGATCAACTCTTGACTGCTCTTTAGAAGGCCAGATCCTGAAGTTGAAACTCAAGTACTTTGGCCACCTAATGAGAAGGAAGGACTCACTGGAGAAGAGCCTGATGCTGGGAAAGATGGAGGGCAAGAGAAGAAGGGGACGGCAGAGAATGAAGTGGCTGGATGGAGTCACTGAAGCAGGAGGCGTGAGCTTAAATGGACCCCAGAAGATGGTAGAGGACAGGAAGACCTGGAGGAACGTTGTCCATGGGGTCGCGATGGGTCAGACACGACTTTGCATCTAACAACAAATTACAGGAAAAAAGCAAGGCAAATTCTTCTCTGCCAGTTGAGTCCTGACTGTCTAAATCAGGGGTCTTCAAACTTGGCAACTTTAAGATTTGTGGACTGGCTGACTGAGGAATTCTGGGAATTGAAGTCCACAAGCCTTAAGTTGCCAAGTTTGAAGACCCCTGGTCTAAATCAAACACATCCAATTTGACCCCCTCCCACCCCCCAGAAATGTCAAACTGCATCATAACAGGTTGTCGCAGATCGTGATGGTTGTCACGGATGGTGTGGCTCAGCATTGCTAATTTTAGTCCAACTTGGCCGGTCGGACTAAAATGTCCCCTTTTTGAAGCATTACCCATTTTTATGGGCAACCAAGAGTCAGAATCATGTTAATGTGTTTTGAATCTGGCCCTCCTTTAGAGACACCCTGTTGAACAATGGATTTCTGATCGAACTAGTTCACAAATTTGAACTAACCAACAAATGCATTTCTGGTAAATGAATTAAAAGTCGAAAGCGTTTGTTAAATGCCATGTCAGTTTTAAACAATTTTTATAGCCGACTTAGATGAATTGTCTACATTCAGTCCAAGAAAGAATAGCTGAACTGGCATAGGCTGGGTTCACACTAAAATGTAACGTGACTTGTTTGAAATTGGCTTGGCGTCTTCTATATGCAAATTGTGGTTTATTCAGCAAGCTGTGGTTAGAATGATATGTGTAAGCCAGGAAGCCTTCAGGTGAGGTGTTAGCAGCTGCCTCTGATTCAGATATCTACCCTGGGCCCATTTGCTTTGTTCAACTGAGGATGAAAAACAAATATTTGGAAAGGCCTCATTTAAACTGTCCCTTTGACATCTGAAAACAAACTGTTTTCTTTGGACGGAAATGTGTCGAAAAAGCAGGATCATCTTCACAGAACTGAACAAAATGTGAACTGAAAATCCTTGGAATATGATGACGATGTTATCCATTCAGTCGGGTCCCGACTCTTGGCGATTCTATGGGTCAGGTCTCTCCATATCTTTCCATCTTGCACTACTACTTTGTTCTATGCTGTGGCTGGTGCCAGTTTTGATGGCGTGCAGCCACCGTGTTCTTTGACAGCCTGCGTTCCTTCTACCCTCGGAATATAGCTAGGGGTTCCTTAAAATAAGTATGTTTTCTTTCTTTTTCTCTGCAAATGCCTCAATGTCAGTTTCCTTTTGCTTCTAAAACCTGATGCATATGAGAGGAAAGGCC